AGTCAGTTAGTGGCCTAAGTAAAGGATTGCATGGAATTCGAACATCAATTACTTGAAGTAAGAGAAAGCTAGTCCCATCTGGCCATGGACATCTAATGATTGAGAGCAAGTGACATGTATGCAGATTCGATTGAATAGTAGTAATGGTAATTCCCCAAAACCTGCATTGTCAATTATCATCATATGTTCAATGTATTTCTAGAATCTAATAATATGGTGGAGGAATTATTTCAGGGTTAATATCAAGTCATGTCTCGATCCTTATCCTCAGAGTATCCTGGATCGTGGGAGACCGTTTCCAAATTGAGTTATCGGAATTGTGAACACAAAGTCAACAAAACAATAATCACCTTATAAAAAGGTAAATGATTCGTCTGTCATAACGTACTAAGATGAACTAATAAACTGGAATTTGTTATCACAATTTGGTTGAAATATGTTTGCATCACATGTCCTAAATTTGTAAAAGCAATATTTACTATTATAATGGATGAATAAAAGCTACTTAAAAAAAACACTGTCAACGGCAAAACAATGGAAGGACTGGTGAAATGATGAACAGCCGTAATCTGAATTTGGAATAAAATCCGAACTCCTTTCGCCAGTAATAATAGTTTTACATTTGCATCAAATGGTCCATTGTCTTCATGTAGCTAAATTTGTGAATACAATATTCACTATTACAACGGCTAAAATTAAAACTACGTATAAAAAACACTGCCTATGACATATAACAGAAAGACTTTAAAACACAATTCCAAAACCTTTTATGAACTATGGTTATGATAATACGGTCAAGATTACTAGGCATACCATGTGTACTTCTTTCATTTGTAGATTTAGGGACCACAGTGACCAGGTTTGTAAGACGCTGAGTCGTTTTCAAAGAAGTTTCGGGTTGGCTCCGCGTGTTGACCCAGAAAGTCCTCGGGATTTTCTGGTGTGGTCCATAGGACGGATGGCCTGACAAGGAACGGTATCTAGTCGTTCAGATGTGACAAATAACCGAAATGAAATGAAATGAAATGGGGTTTAACGTCCTACTGTTCTGCTCCTATATGGGCTAATGAAGACGGGCATACACCATACAGTGTGCTATGAGGAAATTTTGCCCGGGCAGCGGCACTATAACCTACTCTTATATCGAATTCCAACTGCCAGGGGATCTTTTACGTGCATTCCAATATATAGACGGGACCTCGATTTTTCGTCTCATCCGAAGGACTAGACAGCTGTCCTCGTCAGGCCCTCCGTCCTGCATCACTGACAAGGGGGAACCACGCTGGAAAATCTGGATGAACTTTCTCGGCCAATGCAGGGATCGAACACCCGACCTCCAGGCTAGCGAGCCAGCGTCTTACCCACTTAGCCACGTGATCCCCGACGAATAACCGAGGTTCCATGTATAAATTAGAGTGCACATAAAAGAACCTTTGACAGTTGGAATTCGACGTGATAAATAGAATGTAACAAATATCACCCTCATTCCACCAAGATAGTTTTGCGTTTTTGTTACCAATAGGCCGACGTTTAATACAGTGTTAATTAGCATACAGTGGGGCATAACCGAAACGTTGACAATCCAGTTTTCTTCCTTTCATAATCCCCAACAAATGAAAGTGTCAAAACCACCTGATGCAGTCTCAAGATGGTGAATCAATGTAATATAATATTATTAAAATGTGAAGTCAACACTAAATCTAACACATTATGACCCTTTATCTTACAAACTCTTGATTAGGTTACATGTAATATTTCGTTGTAATGAAGAGTACCAAATGTTGTTAAACAAAATAAATAGTACTACCTTACAGTATATACCGATGGTAACAACGGCCTCTGAATATTAAATCAAGTATCATTGAATATAACAATATCATTAGCTTCCAGAAACATATAATATATTGAAATATATATTTTTAATGTCGATTACAGATTTGAATTGATATCAAAGGGGAATTACAATTGTTTGGGATAATAATAGATCACACAGGCGTATTAAAAATATATGTCTTAATTGGCAAAATGACTACTGACGCCTTTGTGTCAACGTAAAATCGTACCAAATAGGTCTATATGTTGTGTATGAAGGTATTATAATCATTATTTAGGTCAACTAAATCTTTTATAATAGTTGTACGTCACAGTTGATAATATCTGGGCCATTTATATTAAGAGATTTCAATATAATTATATATCATTGTTTCGTTCCCAGCAGACAGGATTAGGATTTTCCAGTAGAGCTCAACTCCTCAACTCTAACTGATTATGTCACTGTGACAAATGAGTTTTGATTTGTTATCATATTGAACAGTAAGAAATGATCAGGCTATAAATGGACGGGGTGACTGATCACTACACATTGTCTGCGACGTCATCCAAGGTGGAAACGGGCGTAAAACCCTACGGGAGAGAGAAATGGGGTTTAACGTCCACTCGACACAAACTAGGTCATTTCGGCACGAACATATGGTTTAATTTTATTTCAAGAATTCGCTTGCGCGTAGGGGTCTTTAGCAGTGGGAGGAAGCCGGAGGACCCGGAGAAAACCCACGAGGTTGGACAGGCGACCCTACTCCTTGCCACGTACAACTGGGGATTCGAAACCACGCCAGTTGACTCAATGACAAAAAAAACCCCTACGGACGAACGATCACCACAGACATAGAGCGAGTGAGATAGACGTTAATTCTTGCAAGCACAGAAGAGTTGTCTAACGATTGTATTGTAGATCATCTAGTATCGACTCAATTGTCAAAGCCATGCTTTCGCGTGGCAATGAGTAGTCATTCGTCAAACCTCAGCAGACTCCAGTATCCTACATCTAGCCTAGGCAGTATGACGAAGTCCGCCACTGGAACCACTTTCAAATTCCTGGATTACCAACGGAGTCGCCCATGACGACGCCTTTGAAGAATGTTTTATCATACAAAGCCTTCAAGTTTATGCGATTTTCTTTAAACAAGGACAACTTTGCCTATTATTGACTATTGTTGAATAAACCAAATCCTTAAAGCCAGGAAATCATTTTAGTGTTAACTAGTAAAACACTACGTCAACTACATGCACAATGATAATCTATATCTATCGTGTATTCATGTATGGGTTGGTTGGTTAGCGTTTTGATATATTTTCTACGACTATCATATGTTCTGTTTGTATATGACAGTGTACTTCAGCTTGAATAAATGAACAACATGCATGGTGTATTTTAGTTATGGGAAAATATTTGGCTGTTTTTGTTGTAATATCATTTGGTAGTATATTATATAAACTTATAATGTATATTTTAATTTTAATGTTTTTATAAATTAAATGATAATAATGCAATATATACGCATTCATACGTTTCTTTAATTCACTTCCTGGTCTTTTTATACTAGTGATACATGTATGTATGTTTTATTTACACCCAGTAACAAAATAAACTAGACCAAACGAATTGTCTTACACCATTTTGAGTTCAGATAATCATATAGAGATATAGAGACGAAATACTGCAAAATTATTAACATTCCTTTACAGTTGTAATTACGATGATTATAATTCGAAACAAACTTTAACAACTGCAGTATACATCAAAGCTACGAGAATTAAGTACTGAAATACAGGTTAAAGTTCTCTATTTCTGGGAGCTTAGCCTGAAATCAATTTCAATTTTGAGTTGGAATTAGTCACGGATGCGTCCAAACTCTCTGCAACAGTAAAGTCACCACCTAATTACTTAAATCTAAATAAAATATAGAAGGCAAATAGACAGGGCCTATACATGTATGTTCTTAAAATAGTCTGTGTTTTGTGTAATTCAGACCAATAGATAGCGGACATTACGAAGGACCGGGTTTAGAAACCGTCATAACTAAATAATATCATTGATACATCCCGATCAATTTTATACGTTTTTGTATTTGAGAATCAACGTAAATTTTGTTAAATTAATTAGCAATATAACAATAATTTCAAAAGTCCACTGTAGGCCTCTGTTTTCATTTTTTCAGATGGTTCGAAGCCTTTCGCATATTGATTGTATAATAAAGTTAGTTCACTTGATACAGCTGCACACACTTAATTGGACGCTGATGGAATGTGTTAAATGATTTTTTCAACTGGATCATATTATAGCATGCCGTGCCCTCGACTGTGTTAAAATTAGGTTACCGTGGCCACATATGCTGGAGTGTAGTAAAACATGTATGGTGTCTCAAACACGCTAAGTATTGCATTGATGATAATATTAATTGGTGTGGTGGGGGGGGGGGTGAAAATGTATAACCAATCTTTTCGTATGCACTTGGTTTATTTGACAAATATATAGGAGATCTGTTGTTTGGGTGGTGCTAACTTTGATGTTTGTCAATTCACTTCAATACCATTAGCTAAATATTATGGGGCTTTCCCTTTCATAGGTATGTCAACAACTGCATGAATACCATTACCTTAATATTATGGGTTATTCCCTTTCTTAAGTATGCCAATAGCTACAAGATTTGCTAAATATTATTGGTTTTTGTTCTTTTCACAGGTACGTGAATACCATTATATCCTAACGACCTGAAAATATAGTTTGTTGTAGGGCATATTAATAGCAACCATGAACCAAATTACACTAATTCGTAACTGCTGTGTCCCAGTGACAAAAAAAGGATATCACACAAATTTTGTAGTAATATAGAACACAAGTTCATGCAATTAGACAAAATGGTCCATAATAGTATGCATTTTGAAATACAGGAATGACCATGCCGAACGGAGATGTTCGTTTGACTAAACAACAATTATTTAACTACTGTTTCATTATTACAGTGGCTGTTAATCATCTTGGTCAATCTGTGAAGGTTTGTGGATCAATTAATAGAACAATATCACTGTTATATGAATATCCTGAACCAAGAAATTCATTTACATTGAGTAGAAAAGACATGGGTTTTCTCGCTGCTGTGTCTTATGTTAATGATATTTGCCTTTCAACTTTAAATGACCCTAAATACAACGCTTTATGTGAAAATGGTGGACGAAAATTTGTTCTAGAAGTCAACAACCCTGTTGATGGAGAAGTCTATTATACAACAAGTATAGCAGATAATAGAACTATTGTAATTCAAGGTAAATTATTTATATTTGTTTATAGTTGAGGTATGTAATCTCGTCCCTCCGTTTAATTATATTATTACTAGTGTTACCTAAAATATTTAGTTATTCCTAATCCTAATCCTTCTTCCAATATCCATCAAACAGAATAACGTAAATATTTAACGGTGGGTAGAATTTCAATCAACGAATATATTTCTGACGTTGTTGACAGGAGATTTTGAAAATCTTATGGAATATCGTACCAAAGATAGAGAGATAGTGGTTCGATAACATCTCGTGGCACTCTTGTGGTGAAAAACACCACCGATTTAACAGCATACCAATAGGAAGTATTATTGTAGATTTTGGTACCATACACAGAGATAGTGATGGCAGTTTTGAAGAAAATTTTCTAAGACCACAACAAAAGATAATTTTGACATCGGGAATTGGTTTTAAACATTTTAAGGAGAAGGGGGGGGGGGGCTTTTTATATTAAAAACAAATTTTCAATGAAAATTGCCTACCATCAATATGATGCGCTGTTTTGTTAACAGAAAAACAAGGAAATGCCAACTTTTTACAAACACTCATTTTCATCGCATTAAATATATATTGCAAACCCGTATTCAATATGGGGCGTAAAGGGTTGATACTCGTTGTAGGCCGTCACCAATGTCAGCAAGGGTTTATAAACGGTTTTGGTGGTTCTCTTCTACTGCACATTTTTATTACTATAGCCATGGAATATTTTGGTTTATCTTATACTTCACAAAATTACGAAGTTAGAAACGGATAATCGATATTCGTTTTCATATCAAAATCATAAACACAGACTGAAAAAAGAAACAAAAAGGCGGTAACACGTAAAAAGTGTGATGATATGTCAATATGTTAAGATAGACAGGATAGTAAACGTATCTATATTATCACTCTTTTGTGATACGGGTGAATGGTACTACCATACATCTGGCTAGCAAATAGAAAACGTTTAGCAGATTCCTTAGAAATAGCCGACATGTTAAATATTCAAAATTATTTTGCATTTAATACTCAGAGGGTAGTCAAATATCTTGTGGAACATTTCTCTGGTAAAACGCCATAGACTAAATAAGTTATCAAGCTTATTCTAAGTCGCCAAGAATATTTTTTACCCATGTCCACTATATTGGGGTTTCTTGTGGTGGTAAAATATTCCACACAAAAAACCCAACAAACCTTGCGTATTCATAGTACTCAAATATTACACTGAAAACTATATTGTTATCACAAGGTTCAACGGAAACTGTCTCCGCAGATAAATGTACATTATACACCACAAGCACACGTGATTAAATTCTTAGCAATACAGAATCTGCCCACCAATGTATTCGAAAACTGCGTGCTTGCCTGTTGCGAGCCCATCAATTGTAGGGATTAATAACTAACCCAAAGACTTGTTCGATAACATATGACATACGTTTCAATGGATATAGGCTATATAACAAACAATCTCAGAATAGTAACGCCTACGTTCATATTCATTAAATAAAATGAAAATCAAATGGGGTTTAACGTCCTACTGTTCTGCTCCTATTGGACTAATGAAGACGGCATATTCATTAAACATGGGACTATAATCAATTAATTATTTGACGTAAGCGATTGTAGACATGAACAATATTAACCACTATAATAATATCAAATAAAATTAGCTTAGAAAGTGATATAGGTTAAAAATCAACTTCGAGCCGACATCGATCAGCTGTTCTATATGTTACACAATTGAGCAAATATCAATTTACACCCTCCATGTACATTAGCAATCTTATCAGATTAACAAAAGACGAGTAACAGCTGACACTGACTTGACACGTCGAACAGCTGTGCGAAAGTCGTTAACAGAAGTCATTAATCACCACAGCTGACCCGAGTTACGGAAGGTCTTTGAATGATAAAGCAACCTGTACAGGAAGCTTAATCTGTTTATTATATAATGACCAGCTGTAATCTCCGGCCATAATTGAATCTGAAATATAATACCTGGCCATAGCGGATTGGTCAACGACTATCTGTCCGTTTGGTGTATTAACCCAACCCAGAATGAATACTGACCAATCAGGTCACGGTGCATGGGTGTGGTGCATGTGGACATAGATTCGGCCGTAATATATAAACCCAGACGGTCTAGAGTGTCACGATATCACCTCGGTGGAAGCGGACGTAAAATACAACTAACCCATCATCAGAGTGTCACGCTTCGACCTCTAGTTGGCCGGTCACCTCTGGCTTGCGGCTGTGGTTTCAATCCCAGGTGTGAGCGTATGTGGCTTGGAGATAGGGGCGCCTTCTCAACCTCGTGGGTTTACTCCGGGTACTCCGGTTTCCTCCCACAGCAAAGACCCCTGCGCGTGCGCTAAGATCATTAAAAAAAATGAACTTGTCTGCGATATCACCTTCGGTGGAAGCGGACGTTAAACGCTAAGAACAACAACAACAACAACCTCACGTGGATAATTTTAAAAAGTCATCGTAAACTCGACTGTTTAACTAGCGAAAATTAGTGAGTAGTGACACTGGTTGAGTGAATCTACAGTAGTGAACTTAATGATCCCAATTATTTAATTCCAATCCGTTTCTCAATTTGGTATTATTATATCTACTGAAAGAGAATTGGTTTCAGACGAGTTATTTGCCCCTGAGTTGAAAATCGGAATCAGACCAGTTTGATGATCTCTCTTACGAACATGGACTTAATAGACTTTAGACCTTATACTTAGCTATAGCTTAATGTTATTTTTGAAATATTGTTCACGTTACAGGCGCCCGTGTGCTTATCCCCTATCAAGTATTACATCAAAATTCAACGAATGGGTGTACCTTCCGGATGATAATAAGTTATGTTTCTATTTTTCTTTACTCGGTTTGTCATGATTGATGTCCGTACGTTGTGTAAAGAACCGTAACTCTTGATACCTATTTAAGTCAATTCCTACCATATAACTAACCATAAATAACCGATGATCTGATAACCAAAGATCTCAAGTCTTAATAATGACTATATTTACATTTTAGTTCTATGCATATAGGACCATCGTCCAGTCGTTACACCATATAATAATTACGGGTTGTGTTATTTATACCACATTGTGATATTTTGTTATTTTTGGGTAACCAATGACATAAATGGAACCTGTATTTTTTTCAGATAAAGGATCGTTAAACATAAACTTAAATGAAGAACCGTTTTTGTGTCAGTTAACAGATACTGGTGTACAACTGGTGTGTAGTATAGGATGCAGTAAACCAGAACCAAAATTAACATGGAAATTTACATCTAATATGGTAACATGTATTTATTGTAATGACATTATTGAAATTACTTGAACAATAATTGGATATTGTTGTCATGAACGACCGAAAGGATAATAATTTACAACATAACACATTAAGTAAACTATCATTGTTTCTGCTATTGGAAAGTCTTTGAATACATATTACCTAGAACAATTTAATAGAAAAAAAACAATTATTGTTGAAATTGATACTCTCTCTTTAATCAATCAAACATGATTATATACTCTTCAAAATAAGTAGGGGATATAGAAATGCAAGTTGTGATATGATAAATAGTCATGGACACTTGACATGCTTTGAGAGTATGTTCACAGATGAAGAACTTATCGCCTAAACAGAACCACTGGGCTGCATTTGCGACACGCAATAGCATTATACACGTGGGAGTGGTTCATTGTCAAATTTGACATTTCGAGGGAGATTTGATGAAACCTGCCGTTTGCTGGATTATCCTATCCATGTTTGCTTTCCTATCGGTTCTTGCATAGGATTTACTGTTAAGCGTATCTTTGCTTTAGTGTGTTACGTTTAATTTGATCGGAAGACGTGTTCGTCGACGTCAACGTCAACCGACAACACTGCAAGAATTGGCCGTGGCACTGCATGGGGAGTTGGTCAGATTGCCCCAAATCGTGATTGAATGGTTGATTAGGAGCATGCCACGACGAATTGCTGAATATCTGAGGATTGGTGGAGCAATTATTCATTATTAAGACAAAAATCAAAAACGTCCATTTTCAGTTTTAACGGTGCATCTCTTTGCGAGTGAAATGGGGCCGTCAGATAAGCCGCCCATACGAACCGTTCATGTGTGTAAGCAATTGGGCTGTTATTAACATACACTGGTTACCTCTAATAAAAACAGCAGTGCATTTCCGTAGTTTTGTATTGTTTCCGAATATCCCCTACTTGTTTTGAAGAGTATATATCCGTGAAATAATGAAATTGTATTTCACATTTTTACAGGGTGGAACACTACAAGATTTATCAGGAGGAGTGGAATCTGTTATTACAGGTTGTTCACCTGGATACGTTTCTAAAACTAGCACTATAACTATATCAAACAAAACACCTGTACTGGGTGGTCTAGATGGCTATACAATAATATGTGAGGCTTCTTATCCTGATTGTAATATACCTACAACAACTGATCAATTTAACACGTCTTGTTCTGGTATGTATTTGAAAATATTATAACGATTTACAGAAATCCGCCTCTACGTCTATCCATCCGCAATTGTTTGTAAACACCACGAGGCCATCATTCTATAACATCAAAAACATTTTTATTAAAATAATTTTTGAAAATTCGAAAGTCGTCATAACACCAGTAACCCATATTAACTGTCTCGGCCAACGAACGGATCAAATAGGGGCCATTGTAGCGAGCCACCGTAGCTCCCATATTTATTATAAACACTTCATCCAATTACACACCAATCTGGCTAAAGTTATTCGATATATGACCGTTCATGTGACAGACCCTCCGAACGCTCCTTAAGTTTTCAAAAAACGTCCTAATCTTATAACTGAATACACAAGCTGATGTGGATTGACGGAGCGCTTCAATACGTCCTATAGCTGTACAAATCGTTACTTAATGTTATAAAAAGAAATCTATATACGGTTGAAACGTTCTTAACAACCAGCTAGTATTGTTACAGAGCCAACGTCCTACGCATTTGAGCCATTCCTGCAAAATAATAATTACTATGGCTATATTTATATTCTAGTTCTATAGATATAGAACCATCACCCAATCTATATACAGTATAATAATTACTATACACAGTATCATGATTATCAATATATTTATATTGTAGTTCGACCGGTTGTACATATAGAACCATCAACCAGTCCATATAAAGTCATAGAAGGGGGACCACTCGTGTTGACTTGTCAAGTAAGCAATTCTGATTTAGCAGTGCCATCTGTTGTTTATAAATGGAATAAGAATGGTGTACAGATCTCAGCTCAAAGTTCATCTATATATAGAGTAGAATCAGTACAGAGATCACAAACAGGAAGTTATACCTGTACAGGTAGTAATAGCGGTGGATCAGGTAGATCATCTACACCTGTACAACTTGATGTTTTATGTAAGTATTTGTAAGCATCTATTTATATCTATGCTCCTACTCATGGAGTTGGCACCGCTGAAATGTTTTTTCGTGCAATTAGTATCGAGGCTAAAATTCAATACCGTGTGATCTGATATAGGTGTCTTGTTTTATTGCACCCGACTAAATCATTATAACTGTTGTCATGGTAACTGTATCATCCGACTGGCCGTTAGATCTATATTCTTTGTTTTTTTAGTCGGTCCCATGGTAAATGTATCAGTTTATTCTGTAACTAAAACAGAGAATGATGACCTTCAGTTGATCTGTACCGTTGAATCTAATCCATCACCATCAACGTTTAAATGGTATAAACCAGATGGTAACAGTGTTAATGTATCTCCTAATAGACGACTTGATATATCTAGAATTACCAGGAATCAGGGTGGTATATATAGATGTGAAGCTACTACTACTCTAGTACCAAATAATGGTAGTCCTATAACTAGATCTCACAATAAAACTATAGATGTTACTGTACTGTGTAAGCATAACTATATCCCACAATTATACTATAAATATTACTGTACTGTGTTACTATATCCGATAGTAAAACTATATATATTACTGTACTGTGTAGGTATAACTATATCTGATAGTAAAACTATGATTATTACAGTACTGTGTAAAAATAACTATATCTGATAGCCCAACTATGAATATTTATTTAGAGTAATACGATTACCAGTGTGATAAAAAACGACCGAAGGCCAATCGGTACTAACCTTCCTGTATATAAAATCCAAGTGTCGAATTACGCAATATCATCTCATACCCACAACTGCCAGACACACGAGAAAAATAAACTGATTTTCCCACTGAAAACTTGATTCATCACAAATAATATTATATGAACTTTGATATTATTTACAGACCTCGATCCAGTAACTTTAATACCAACTGGAGATAAACTGACTATAAATGAAGGAGATTCAACCAATATCACGTGTTCTACTAACAGTAGCCCTGTAGCCTTGATTACCTGGTACAAAGGTACAATCCAAATATCATCTAAACAAACCATCATAGATACCTTTACTATACAACAAAGTACATGTCTGGATACTGGTGACTATACTTGTCACGCTACCAATACTGAGATACCAAGGGTTCAATACAACCAAACATTGAATGTATTTATTAACTGTAAGTGTATAACTGATACAGCAGAACATAACACTGTAAATTTGAACAAAACAACTTTTATAAATGAATACATATGACACAAACATAATGTGCATTAGCCGTTAAAAAGTGTAATAGTCCGGCAGTGGTCATTAAGGTACTAAAACCGTGACTATTGAATACCATACACAACAATTGGTTAGGTTTGTGTATTCATTAGTGATGGGTATTAGGAAAAATGACATCTGCCACAGCTACTTTATGCTCCTGCTATATAATATTCAACCTCTTCCTATACATAATAAACCTCCATTTTCACTTTCTAAGAATTAATGACAAATATACATTTATTACTAAAAGGCCTATGTTCAAAAGCAATTGGTAACAGTTTAACAGTGTGTGTTATATGATATTTTCAATATTGTTATATACAGGTTCACCAAGACAAGATACTAGAGTTATAACAACATCTATAGTTAGTGGTAATATAAGAGATATAGTACAACTGGTAGCTGATGTTATATCCTATCCACCACCAACCTTCACCTGGTATTATAATAATATAACTACTGGAGATGTTGAACCTATCTATAATGACGATGTCTTTAAACAGATTGATACCAATATCTCTATCAATACTTATAGATCAACATTAAATATCAACATTACATCCAACATCTACTATACATCATATACAGTCAATATATCTAATAATATTGGTTATACAGAACTAGAGTATCACGTTACAGGTCAATGTAAGTATAATATAACATATTGTATATCATATACATTCAATGTAACTAATATTGGTTATACAGATAACCACCATATCAGTGTAAGTATACTATACCATGTACTATACATCATATAGTTAATGTATCAAATAATATTGATTATTCAGATAACCATTGCAATGAAAATTATACTATATGTAAGTCTCAAAATGATTGGCATAATGTGCGAACAAGACCCATTCCATTGTACTGTAACTGTGTGGGTGAATGCTTGAATGATTAAATGAACATTACCACGTTAGTGTAGAGATGTCAGAAAATTCTCGTACGACATTTCGATGACATAAATTAGATACGTTTTGCGCTTAGTGTATTTTGGCCCAATAATGTATATTCTGACAAATTTAAGTGAGTGGGAAGTGGTAACTATTTACTAAGGGTGATAGCTATTACTAAGTGATCGATCCCCTTTTGGTTGAGACACAACTACTTAATCTGCCTTCATTGGCTTCCTTAATCTACGTGGTTGTTAAAATTAGTCAAAGATTATTACTTCTTGATTTGGAAATCAACCAACTTGTATGCTAACCGTAACAATTCAGGATCAAATTAGTGCAGTCGGAGCAGAACAGTAGGACCTTAAACTCCATTAAAAAATGCTACATAACATAAACAATATTTGTAGATGAAGTCTATAAAGTATATGGAAGTGTATTTCCCTAAGCTGATAAACGACTTCTGGTGACCTAGTGTTCTATAGTACCCATTAACAATAAGAGTTGTCCGAATTATTTATTTAAACAACGCTGTACATTAAACCCTAATGACTGCCTTTTGTTTAATAAAATTATAATTGTATATAACTTCCAGCTAAACCTGATGTACCCTCTAACATCAACTCATCAGTACCGAGTCATGACATTATCTGTATTACATGGATACCAGGATTTAATGGTGGAGATCAACAGGAATTTATTGTTGAACATTCAGTAGATAATAATACCTGGACTAGTTCTACACCTCTACCAGAATCTAAACCTGATTATTGTATAAATAATCTACAAGCTGATACATCATATTATATTAGAGTTATAGCTAGAAATAAATATGGTGATAGTCAACCAGTTTATCTGATATCACCTAATGGTTCTTCTACAGTACGGACTATGAAGATAGGTAAGAATGATCTGCCTATTGCAAGTCTTTCTTTAGGCCTGAAATGTTATCCAAATTATTAATTAAATTATCCAGACCCACCTGCATAGAAAGCTAGCTACTATTTAATTTCTGTGCGTTAGATACGTACATGATCCAGACCATAACCAACTCCCGATGCCGTCGCTAACCTGAGATGTTTACTGGATTTGAATACCTTTTATGATGGATAATTTAACGTCAAAATGGATAATCGAGACTTTGGTTTGTATTGTACCGACTTTAGTAATGATGATCTAGACTAGGCCTAAAATTCAATGGCTAATATCTCGGTTCAGAGTGAAGCTATTTTCAGCATTTTCTCTGTACGCTATCTATTTTTTGAACTGTTATAGCAAGAACTGTCAGCTCTTTCCACGTGTTAAATTCTTAAAAGTTTGTCTACCGTTGAATAATTTTTAATATTGTGTAACTATTTTATTGTCTCCTGGATAAGTTTCCTCAGACAGTGATGTTAAAAACGAAAGTCCAGATGGTGTTGTGGTTGGTTTATCGGTGGTGTTGGCTCTTGTAATCATCTTGTTAATATTAGCTGTTCTATCTACTATATATTACCGACGGCAAAATCAGCAGCTACTAAAAGGTATTTTTAACGTAGAATATTTCTGACTAGTGTAACATCTATGATTAGAGGTAGTTGTTTTATATGTCGATGAAAATACAGATAAGAATTAAATTTTGAAATAAATGTTATCACTTTTTAGATTGCGAACAATAACATTATTAATACGATGACATTAAAGCCATCAGTGAATATACATTATGTATATTTTTTATGGTATATACTATAATGATTTAATATGAATAATTTCAGGTAGTGAAATCTCAACTGCCAGGTAAGACATTCTATGACAATTCTACCTGACACCAAAGTTTTATAATTGCTTATTAATTAACTGTATACGATAAAACGTTAGAATATTTTGTATGAAAGAAATGCATATCCATGGATAGGAATATCATCTCAAGTAGTCTAAATATATACACTCACGTGTATTAACTTATATTTGTATGAAAGAAATGCATATCCTTGGAAAGGACTTTCATCTAAATATATACACTCACGTGTATTAACATATATTCACCACGTTTTGTTGAAAAGCCTATTGGTCATAATGAGGAACTCTTTATATCAAACTGTTGGCTTAACTACTAATATAATGAATTGTAGAAAAAATATATAAAAATGTGACATATTCCTGTTTCAGACAACCAAACATTACTGGTTTTGATAATAATGGTTTAAGTAAGTATATTGATAATTAAAATACATGTAGCATTATCTCCAGGGTTCGTTGGCCCCGCTAAATCTGTGACATTTTTATTCCGGATTCCCATTACTTATGATGACAAGTCAAAATGTTACACACTAACCCTATAAATATATTTCATAGTCGCGTCCTAAATGCATATTAACAGACGATTATAATAACAAACCAAACTAGAAAGGAAAACAAAGTGTAACGCTCTAATACAGATAGGACCGTCAGAATGAGGGGCGGTGATTTATAATAAGTAAATTGTTTAATGTCTTGTGGAATTATTTGAGAAGTTCACATAACTAACATATGATTTGCGTTTTCTTGTCAATACAAATGTTACTTGTTGCTACAAACTTTGTTTAGAGGTTTAAATTTAACAGATGAACCAAAAAACAATTGAATTTAATGGTATGGGATGATGCTTGATTAAATCGAAAACAAATAGACACACGACATATAATATAATATGAAGATGCTTACAGATGTGTCATTCAATAAATATTTTTGTCCCCCGCCTTTCGAAGAAAGCAGGGGCTATTAAAATGGGTTCGTCAGTCTGTCTGTCTTTCTGTCCGTCCGTCTGTCTGTCTGTCTGTCCGTCTGTCCGTCACACATTTTGGGACACAATAACTCTCCTTCTAATTGAGCTAGAATGTTCAAACTTGGTGTGCGTGTTTATTAGGCAAATGCCTTGATGGAGTTCAAAGATGAGAATTTTCTACTTAGGGTAAGCAAAGATAAGCAATTTGATTGGTTGATGATTTGGGACACAATAACTTTAGTTCTTATTAAGTGAGAGTGATGAAACTTAGTGTAAATTTTCATTACATTAATACCATGACGTAGTTCGATAATGAGCATTTTCTGCTCAGGGTAAGCAGAGCGTTAAGCAATTGGATTGGCTGAGACTTTGGAACATGATAACTCTCTTTCTAATTGAGCATTTTCTGCTTAGGGTAAGCAGAGATAAGCAATTTGATTGGCTGATGCTTTGGGACATGTTAAGTGAGAGTGATGAAATTTGGAGTATAGTTTTATTACATCAATAACTTGACTAAGTTGAATAATGAGAATTGTCTGCTTAGGCCAAGGAGCGATAAGCAATTTGATTGGTCAAGACTTTGGAACATAACAACTCTGCTCTTTTATTATGGTAGAATGTTTAAACTTGATATAGATGTTCAATAGGTAAATGATTAACATTTCGAGCTAAAGCTAAGCAAAGCTAAGAAATTTCATTGGTCGATGCTTTGGGAGAAGATAAATTTAATTCTATCTGATAGAGAGTGATGAAACTTAGTGTATAGTTGATAATCAGTTTGATTGCTTGATACTTTTGAAAATATACGTCCACTTGAAACTGTGGGCGTATACAAATTAAAGGTGCGATTAATTAATATGTGTCATCTATTTATTTTGGTTATTCGGCGGGGGACACCAGCCTCACTGTTGGATTGTTCTATAAATAGTGTCGACATATGATGGTCTAGAATTTAGTGAAAGAAATCCAACTGAAGGAACATACCAAGAATTGATTCAGAATTCTACTAATGTTGATAACACAGCAAGTAACAGAATGGAAGGTAATGTGCGTTGAGTAAATATAGGAGGGGGATTCGGTGGTCGAATGGTCTTTTATTAAGTTCGATCCCTTATAGTGTCGCCTGTCTAACATCGTGTGTTTCCCCTGTGACCTCCGTGTTTCTCTGACTGCTAAAGAAAGAACCCTACATGCAGGCGAATTATTGAAATTCAATTGAACCGCATGTTAGTATCGAACTGACTTAGTTTGTATCGATTTCTCTCTCCTTCTCGTTCTGTAAATAACTATCTTTTGTTTTTATCCGTGATTATCCAGACAAAATGACAAGGTGTAATAGGAGACTAATGTCCAACCCCACATGGCAACTGAGAATTTATATTTCTTCTTCAAAGTATTAAACACCTTCAGATAGCTGTACTGTGTAGAATAACGGTAATCAATAAGCTTAAAACGTCCATTTAAAAACTAGAATATATCGGACTGGTCCTCTTGTAATATCTGGGCTAACCCTTACTATCTAATTATTCTTTGAAAACTACCGGAATGTATCGAAGAATGCCGAGAGGTGTTCTAGGGATTATACAGAAATCCCGTCGAAGGAGTAATACCACCCGGTCGGGATCCATTTGGTTATTCCAAATTTTAAATTAGCTTTTGAAATATACCCCGTAATATGTAGTTAGTAGTTTGTTTAGCTATCCAGATAAAACAACCACCAATAATTATTTACAAAGTCCACATTTTGTATAAAATTTTATTTTGTAATTAAACATTCGATATTTCAGATCCCACCTTTATAAATACCAGAACCAGAATATAGTTTGTTTCAATTTGGTGGTAGGAGGTGGAATGAAGAATTCTGTAGCTGGTTGTGTATAATAGACAGTATACAATTACATCACCTTTGTGATCACCAGTTATTTAACTTTAGTTTATCTCAATAGTCCTATATAAAGCATTATCAGAGTATATGTCTTGTATTAACATTGCGTAGGTTATAATGAATTATCCCTGTATATTTCTTGTATTAATCATTTAACATTACGTAGGTTATAATGGATTATCCCAGTATATGTCTTTAACATTGAGTAGGTTATAGAATAACTCTATAACTGATTTAATGAACTCAATGTTATGATATAATTACGTCACATATTTACATATAAATAAAATAAAACCAAATACGAACAATACAAACCATTAGACGAAATTTGAAGTCCTAAAAAACGGTATAGACAAAATAGTGTAAAAAGGCAAAATAGATTAATCAGCATATGGACTGTTCACCGTGTACAAAATACACGACAAACAGGGGTAACAGGTGTCCGGAAGAGTAAGCTTACCCTGCCTGGCGCAACACCCGCCATAGCTGCATCCAAACTATTAGGCGAAATCTCGGTAAAATAGCGTGATTGGCCAATGGACTTTCGGTATGCAAAATGCACGTGATGAACAGTGTTAACGATGTAGTAGACAGACATTATCAGGGAGATAGTATACGCGTCAATTAAATTATACGCGTCAATTAAATATATCTAGAATAATAGCCGAGAGAGGCATGTTATATTTACCAATCAAGTCAATATGACGGCCATAAAACTTTTTAAAGGTTTTAATAAGTTTAGTTCGCAAGTATCCCTGTAGTTGAAGCTTAGATGACAAATGCCTCGATCTACTTAGAAAAAAATCAGAATAAAATGAACAAGCTCTAGTTGAGACACAAACACTCCATAAGCTGGTGATATTGGAATGTTACTACTAATAAATGGAAAGTTAACAATCGGAAAATCAAAGTCATCACGTTTATCGTACAATTTAACTCTAAGTTTATGGCTATTGTCAAAAACGAGACGCAGATCCAAGTAGGAAACGTAATTGTCACTGTCAGTAGTGTTTTTAATTTCGAGCTCATCAGGATATATGAATTCTACATAATCACTAAATTTAGGATTTTTAAGTGATAGAACGTCATCGATATATCGATAAGTGAAATTAAAAAGTCTGACTGATCGTTTATTAGTTTTTACGAGCGTCTGTATGTAATTGGCTTCGTACGAATAGAGAAACAAATCAGCAAGCAAAGGTGCACAGTTGGTGCCCATGGGGATACCTACCACTTGCTGATAAATTTCCCCTCCAAATTCAACAAAGATATTATCAATTAAAAAATCCAACATCTGAATTATCTTTTTGGCGGTGAATTTATTTTTGGGATCACTATGGTTCTTAACAAAATATGTGGAATTGTAATTAACAACTAAATATTGATATCTAACATTTCCCGATTTTGATGAAAAGACACTGTGAATAATGTCTTTTGTCGACCACCAGTGGTATGCTTTAGTTTATCTTACTATTCCTTATCAATTATCCCGATATATATCTTGTATATGGTATAGTGTGATTACCACGTACAATACAACCTTTTTATTGGTGCCAAACAGCTAACACCACACCGTGGGGAGCACCAGTGTATGAATCTAGTATTTTGTTTTCTGCGAAATTTGATCAACGATGCTATACTGAAAACAAACACAGAAAGAATGATAATCTTACCTCATATAAGTACGTTTAATTTCCTATGTTTAGTTTCTTACTTGAAATTGCGCAATTGTCTGAAAATTATTAATTAGTAAATTTAATTGAATGTTTTGATCATATTTTCACTGTGCTTATATTCCACCATAACACTTGTAATAAAATCATTAACTATTGTTTGTTTTAACAATATATTTTATTCAATAAATGTCAGTTGTAATTCAAATTTACGAATATAGCGAAACAATTAGCAGTCTTTTTATTTATTAAAGATGCATAATGTAAAAAATAGATTAAAAGCTGGACGTTCTTATTATAATAGTTCAAATATAGATAATGAAAAAATACTAAATTGAAAATTTCATTCATTTTACTTTATTCATGGCGAAGTTATGATGTTTGAACATTTAGCATAGGTCGTTCATCATCGTAAAAACGGTACTTGGCAACCGAATGTGCTCTTAATCCTTAAATTTTAAGATCTCGCGCATGTTTAAATCCGTTTAAATCTAGACCATACCAGGAATATTTACGAACCTATAAGTCTGTAAAGATATCACATATCAGGAACAGCCTGTTCTGTACAACGTAGAATTCATTCATATCTCGCGATATAAATAGTATTTATAAAAAGAAGAACATTGATACAAAAAAGACAAATTGATAGACAAATATAAAATATGATTTTATCATAGTGTATTTACTGGAAACAAATTCATTCAGAAAGATTATGTTGATTATAACATTAAAAGAGTTTTCATTGACACAATAAATTAATGTATTATTTCATATATCAATCCCCCAAACAGTATTAATATCAATTTCACAGTCATTAAATACGCCGTAAAATGTCCTATAAGATCATTTATAAAATTGCTTATTGTACCGATGCGTCATTTGAATCTTATAGAATCACTTGAAAACTAAAATAATAGTTCAGTTCCGTTCTGTAATTTCCAAATATAAGTTTCATTAAAATTGGATCGATCTGTGCTGCTTGCTTTGCAAAAAGTCTGACCCAATTTTGTTGTCCACGACAATTGATCGATAGGTATTTTTATTATTCGATTGAATCCAAGCCAGGACACTAACGTTGGTAATGTTAAACATACATTATGCAAGAGCTAAATCTTCCTATTGAAAGTCTTTATTTAAGCTTCAGATGTTATAGAAATTATTAATTAGGCCTTTATTTACACGACAAGTTCAAAATCAACTCTGTAGACCCACGGATGGCTTGGATACAGTTTAGATTTAAACAGTAGTCCATTTAAAATTAAATCAATAGATCGCGGACCAAGCTAACGTTTACCGTCAGTCGCTGATGTCACTACCGGAAACTGGTGATGAAAGGCCTGCCAAGCGAGGCTACCATAGCCATTACGAGAATATGGTGGTGGAGTTATCGTTTGTCAATTCTCGTAGACGGTGCAGACACAATTGATGCCTTTTTCTAGCCCAAACATCCAACAGTGACAAAGTGATCTGACTGAAATTTTAATGATTATAGCAAGAATGGACAACTCTTTATAAAACCATTTACTAATGTATCTTTAAATAATCAATCTGAGTACATATTCACGTGCAATAAGCACAGTATATAACGTTAACAATTCAATAGGATAAGTGGTGGAATAATGAGGAATGAAGCACCGTATAATGCGCCAGATCTGTAATACACACGCTCACGGGGGCCAAAACGCACTGAAGTAAACTGTGGTCACCCAGCTCCTCCTCTAGAATAGGGTAAGTTTATACCGAGATTGAATTACATAAACAATATTATTGATTTATTTATGGAAAAGGTAGATAAACAGATAAGTAAAATCCCATTGTAATATGTAATTGTTGTTCAGTAAACTTCTATCAAACCAGTACAACTTCAATGTTCAAGATATATAGAAAAGGGTTTAACGTATATTGGTTCAATTCTATCGCAAGTGTCTTTATCAGAAACTAGAGGATCGCCTCTCAACTAAAAAGGTTTTAACACCGGGTTTCAGCATTCCGTGACTTAATCCCCCTTTGCCGAAAACCTTGGGGGACGCTCGGTTGTCAGTCCAGAACGTCCCGAATTAAAAGAAATGCAATCAAGTGACGCGGAATCCTGGGGTAATTAAACACAACAAATATAACTTCAACAGTGTAGGGCCTAGCTCACAAACCATGTGGGGGTGGGGCGGGGGTGGGCTATATTTGATCCCAGTGTCGGTGATGAAAGTTACTCTATCCTCCCAGGATTTTCTGCACCGTTCGCCTGATCAGTGGATCTAGGGCCTGGCAAAGGAAAGTGTTTGGTTGTGATAGTGATGGGGCTGAAAAGCCAAAGTTCCATGTAGAAATTGTCGTTGACATGGAATTCGGTCCTGTCACAGTTCTGTCAGTCCCGACAACGGAGGTGGTGTGAGTAGAATCGCGGGGTAATTAAACACAAAAAATATGTTTCGGCTGCATGCTATTTTGCAGATATTTTCTTATTCAGTCGACGCATGCGTTGTAGCCCGAGATACCCCTTTCATTCGATTTTCACTATTTTTGGGATTGAGAGAATTCAATTCTTTAACGTTCAATCGAATACCCCACCATTAGAACGTGCCAGAGTATACAGTTTTAACGGATACTTTTCAAATTTGGTTTAAACATTGGGTGGATATTCAACGTTCCAGGACTTTCAAGTTAGAAGTTCTGTCAAAAACTCAATACTTCCCATAAAATTTGAAAATAAAATATCTGCAAAAAAAGTATAGGCGCTATCGCGTTCACCGGGTTGTTGGGAGAGGGGCATATCTCCAAATCAGAATGCCTTGGAATGCTGAATGTCGATAGGGTTCTTCCGCTCACAACCCAAATGTTTCCAACCAAAACTGAAACAACTCCGATAGAACTTGTAGCCTCTACCGCTTTCACGACAAAAGTTAATTGTTCCTCGTGTGACCCCAGGGTTTGTCACCAATTTTGAAACCAATATCCATGAACAAGTTACAACAGTGTTCTAGTAAATAAAGCGGCGGTACGATTTAACCAATATACCCAATACCACCCAATACTACCCGAATATCACTACGTACTACCCAATACTACAATGAGCATATTACTTCATTTTGTTTTCAAAAATAGTGAGATATATCGTGGGAAATGTACTTCAAATAATGTGATTACCGATGTCTCGCTGTCTCATTTGCTTCCCTATATCACCCAAATCAAGCAAATACTACCCCAATACTACCAAATACTAATCAAATACTGCCAAATACTACCCAATATTATAAAATAACAACCTAATATCGTCAATTAGCAGCACATCAGTATAATAATTGCAACTAATATTCGACAATTAGCAGGAAATTGAAATATTTACAGTAATATTCGTTGCAGTAATTATACTAATAAGCTGTTATTTGACAATATTAGGTAGTATTGGGTAGTATTTGATGAGTATTTGGTAGTATTGGGTTATCATTGGCTTGTTTTGGATGGTATAGCAAGGCAAATGGAACTGCCAGACATCGGTATCGAATTTGAAGTACATTTCCCGCTCCAATGTTATGTCTATATTGCATCATTATGTTGTAGTATTGGGTAGTTTGTGGTGATATTGGGATAGTATTGTGGTGGTATTGGGTGATATTGGGTAGTATTGGGTAGTACTGGGTAAATCGTCCCACCTTAAATAAAGTTCTAAACGAGTACATATGTTGAGTTCATATGGTGATGAAGTGTTTAGTGGTGACCTTGCTCAAATAAATCAATTAAGAAGTGTGGTAACAATCGAAAATCTGTATTTGTATTATATATCAAAGGGGGATTATAATTATTTGGGATAAATTGTACTTCCGTTTAGAATCCAACACTGATCAAATATTTGTTTAATCGCTACAATGTACGGATTACCTGTGTAGGTATTATAATCAATATTTAGGTCAACTCAATCTTATATAATAGACGTACGTCACAGGTGATAATATTTAGGCCAGTAATACTTATCACTATTTCAATACAACATCATATATCATTGTTTCCTTCCCAGAAGACAGGATTAGGATTTTCCAGTAGAGCTCAACTCCTCAGCTCTAACTTATTATGTCACTGTAACAAATGAGTTTAGATTGGTTATTATATTGACTAGTAAGGTTCTGAAATGATCAATCTATAAAGGTGCAGAGCAAGTGACCACTACAGATACAGGCGTTAATTCCTGCAAGCAAAGAAGGGTGATCTAACGCTTGTAATGTAGATCATCTATCGACTCAATTGTTGTGATTTTAAATCCATGCTTTCACGTGGCAGAGTAGCATAGTCGGTCTAAGATCATGTTCTCTGGTTCACCGACTGGGTCAAGACAAAATTATTGACCATGTGTTAGTCCCTAAATGTCGGTTTGCATTGAGCCAGCGTTAAACATACCACAGATCCGATAATACAACAGTTTACAATAATCTGTCTTTTATTGAATAAACAAAATCTCTCAGGAAATCATTTTACTGTTAGCTGGTAAAACACTACATCAACTACATGACATGATGACCTTCGCGAATCTGTGTTCTCCAAGAGAAAACGATTTTATTTAAATTTTAATTAATGTCACTTAAAACATCCCTCGATGAATGAATGAATGAATGAATGAAAATATAATGAAAGCAATGTAGTTTTTTGGCATGTCAGCTCCAAACATACTATTATCTTATCGAGACAAGAATTAAAATAAACAAATCAAGTGTGTTAAACATATAGTCTATTATATAAAACATGTCTATTCTAAAATTCACAAATCACTCAATATAAAACCTGCATAACGTGTTTTCAACGACACAGCTTTAACTATATCTGTCGTATATTCATGCGTGACTTGGTTGGTTATATGTCGTATAGGCTATTATTATCATATGTTCTGTTTGTATATGACAACATACTTCAGCTTGAATAAATGAACAACGTGAATGGTGTATTTTTAGTTATGGGAGAATTTCTGGCTGTTTTTCTTGTAATAGCATTTGGTAGTATATTATATAGACTTATAATGTATATTTTATTTTTAATGTTTTTATAAATTACATGAAAATAATGCTACATATACGCATTTATACTTTTCTTTAATTCACTTCCTGGTCTTGTATACTAGTAATATGTATGTATGTTATATTTACACCCAGGAAACAAATAAACTTGGCCA